GTGCTTAAATATTACTTCTGATTTCAATGCGTCTTAGAAGAAATGTATATTACGGTCTTGTTTCTCCAGCAAACGAAGTTGCTACAGCTATGTTAATATTCAAATGAACAGCTGACAAAGGTAAGTTAGTTTCACCAAAACTGAAAGCTTTTGTCCTCTGAGGATTAATACACATATTAAAACCTAACTCTGAGCCCCACCTATTACATTAAAGGCAAAGTTTGGTTGGGGCTTTAATTTAATGAACACCATCAGTATCTTTGCAGAGTAATGAGCCAGGAAGCTCTCTGTGTTCCCTGTAAGGTAGGCCTGTGAAAAGCAGCTAGCATTCGATCTGGATTTGGCCAATTCGGAGGACAGCAATTTGATTCAGTGATTCAAATCATTGTCCCAAATCAATTTGGCCAAACCTGATTCAGAAATTTGGCCACTGCAGAGTTGACCGAATCTCCGACTCAAACAGAACCCATCCCCCGCCCGCTCTCCCAGCCCATGAAAGGCTGCCCCATCTGGCCCCAGCGTCTCGGCTCTTAAAAAAAAAAAAAGCCCCACACTCACCAGCTCCTGCCAGGCTGGGGGTGGGGGTGATCCCTGCTGCACCTCACTGCCCCATGCTGTGTCGGGGCTCTGCCATGAGCCCCCAGAAGCCCCAACGGCCGCTGCAGCAGCTAGTGAGTGTGGAGCTTTTATTTGTTTTTTTAAGTGCCTGGATGCTGGGGCCAGACAGGGCAGCCAGCCATTGATGGGGCTGGGAGAGCAGATAGGGGATTGTGGCAAAGCCCCCCATACAGCGTGGGGCAGTAGGGACCACTTCCCCCCTCCCCCCTGGCTGGTGAGAGTGGGACTTCAAAAAAAAAAGAGCTGGAACGCTGGGGCCAGGCAGAGCAGCCATTGACGAGGCTGGGAGAGTGGGTGGGGGTCAGAGGGCACTCAGAGGGGCTGGGGAAGCAGGCAGGGGATGGGGCCTGGCAGGGGTCCCCCCCATGGTCCCTTCCCCCCTCCTCCAGACCTCTCCCTCGGCTCCCTACTTACCGGCATGGAGCCCAGATCTAGTTCCATGCAGTGGCGAGTGGGGACTGCCTGAACCTCCAAATCTTTTCTGAATCAATTTGGAGAGCTTTGAATCATTTCGGACCCTTTTATTGGTCTCCTGATACAATTCAGATTCAGAGATTCAGCCACCGAATTGGGCCGGATCTCCTCCGAATTGAATCAGCACCCAAAGCTTCACAGAGTCCTATTGTAAGGGTCCAGTATCAGCAATTTGTTTTACTTTGTTTCTTTTACCATTCAGCTATTTTAAAATAAGACTGTAAAAGTCTATCTGGAGTCATTTCTAGTGCAGCAACATTAAAATTGTACAGAAGTAGTGAGAAGTAGTGAGAATAAAAGCCATTACAGTATTAGTTTTTAATGGGTCTGAAAGCAAAGTTTAACAGTCTATCGTAAGTAATTGGAAAATTCTATGCACTCTTACAGAAAAGATTAATTGAAACCAAAGTGCTCTAAGTTGGTGTACAAAAATCTGTGGAAAGGCATATGTTCAAATATTATTCTTATTTAGCATTTATAATTTCAGTTGTAGAGCTAGTCTTACTAAAGGGCAGAACTCAGTCTGATAATGTAAATTCTCAGATCCACTCATTTGTATTGCATGGTAGCTTCCCATTACGGGATGGAATATCAGTAGTTCAAAAATAAAGTGAGATGCTCACTGTTTTATTCCACTAGTTGCAATAGAAGGCTAAATTATGGAGAGTGAGTTACAGTTTACTTATAAGGGTAATGTATGAGGGTGTGTATCTAAAGCAACCATCTTCACCAGATGAAAATTAGAGTTATGCTAATAGTATTTCTACCTAAAAGCTTGACGTATACTTTGTAACACATTCTGGTATTGCTAATTCTCTACACTATTTTTACAGATACATTCACTCACTCACTCTTCCAAAATCTGTAGCATCCAAGTGCTATATTTGTGGTGATAACAGTCATATTAGTACTGGAGAACAATTCTCTGTGAGTCTTGTTCTCTTTATGATGTAAAGAATAATAAGAACTAGCTTTGCTATCCAGAATTGTGAACTACATTTCAAACTTTGTCCTGGATCCTATTCTACCTCTGAGGTGCCTAAGAGGTACTTACGTGGCTTTCAGACATCCAATTATTTTACGCACTTGAGGCCGACGTGGGGAAGGGGGGTGGGGGAGGTATGGACCTGGACCCAAGGCAGAGGGAGGAGGCCTGCCCCTCCCCTCCCCCTGCCGCATCGGGCCAGGACCACTGTTCCCCCAACCCCCACCGCTGCAGTGGGCCAGCTTCGCCCCCCACTCGGGCCTGCTCCTCCCCTCCCCCCCCACCACCGTGTCAGCCCGGGCCTACTCTTCCACCCACCACCACCACGGCACACCTGTGTCAGCCCTGCAGGCAGCAATGATAGAAGGGGGGAGGGGTGGGCCGAGGACAGTGCTGGTGGCCTTGCCCCACTCCCATGGTGTCCTGACCCCGCTCCCCCCTTGCGCTGCTGCTGCCACCTCCAAAGAGCAAAGGGGGGCGGGGGACGAGGCCAGCTCCCTCCACTCCATCATTTCTGCCTAGAGGAAGCAGGGCAGGGGGGACAAGGCCAGCTGATTGGTTGTTTCATTCAGCCAATAATCAGCCAGACCTCCAAAATTATAATCAGCCAATCAGAGTGTGAATAAAGCATTACGGACAGACAGATAGTTTAAGGCTTTTATAATACACACACACACACACACACACACACACACACGTTCAGAGAAAAGAGCTGCACTGACTTAACTAAATAGAAAAAAAACCAATTACACCTTACACTGTTAAACAGTTGGAACTAAATTTTTAAATAGACCTAACTGTCCTGATTTCTCTAGATCTTTAAAAGTGCAAGTGGAAAAAAACAAACATATTTATATAAAAACTAAAGCCCAAGACTACCATGAAGTGCATACACCGAAACATGTCATCTTCAAAAGTCACTAAAATAACAATGTATCCATTTGGGCTAGAATAGGTGCTTAATCAGATACACAAGTTAAATCTGCTAACTGTGCAGCTGGTTACTGAAAAAGCAAAGTATGTCAGTAATTATAGCTGCTATGCATCAAACACTACCAAGCAAGACTGAAAAGGGTGTGGAATATTTAGAAAAAAAAATAATTACATGGTATTTACACAGTGTTCAACTTTTTATTTTATATATATCTGTGGGCTGTGAAACTGTAGAACTGAAGTCTTCTGAAGATGTTTTTAGACTGATGTTTAGGAAAACACCAACCAAAGAATAAATCTAATTATATATAAATTTAATTCTCTACCGAACACAAATATATGGATTGTATTCGTCGGTTCCCCCACTCCCTCCCCACAATTTCTCATTAAAATTGTTTGATTATAAAAGTCAGGATGTTACCAAGGAAAATTATTCAATAATAAAATAATAAAAAATGCTAGATGTATATTGTTTCTAGGCAATTTGCAGGCAATGGCTCAAAAATGTGTATTTGAAACTGGAACAATTCCATTTGAATATGCAGGGGGTTGTCCGTCATTACAACATGCACACACCTACACACATGCACAGTAAAAATTTTTTCATGAGATTACATGTGAAGCGATCATTACTCACACTTAATAAAGACTTTATATCACAGTCTAACTCACCCATGAAGGGCAATAATACCTTTATCTCCATTTGTGAGAAAGACCCTAATAACTCACTTAATCCTACTGCACTATATGAATTATAGGTCTACCACACACATTAATGAAAGGCAATCATCATTCTTTACTATGAAGATATCTTGAGCTTTAAAGATTCATACACTTCACTGAGACAAGCATGATGCTGAGGGTCATCTTGAAAACCAGAAAATCTTCTATGGAGCTCTTCCTCCTCCCCCAGTCTATTAATGATTTCCAATACTGCAGATTCAGTTTCAGCTTTCACAGTTGACAGGAGGGCTACAGAGTTCTTTGCAACAAACAGCCCTTGTTAAACTTAAAGTTTTATTATAATTCATGACTTTACGTACATAATATTATCTGCTCATTTTGTTTACATACCCCATTACCTGAATTTAAAGTAATGACTTTTGTAAGTGGTCATACTGTTATGAAAAGTAATTTACAGCCTACGATATCAGTAGGGGGAAAGTTTTACCATCAGTGTGGTTTGGCCAAGCTGACATGGGGAATGCCTGGGGTTTTCCCCACAGAGGATTCTAGCCCTATTGAATGCATGGTCTTAATGTATCTATTGAAGATGCAGAACAACTTGACATTGTAAGTATCTCTTCAGCTTAACTCCCGGTCTATGTCTGTCGTAAATTGCAAGCTGGCTCAGCATTTATCATCTTTGCTTTAAGGTCTGTGTACATACAGCAGCTTTTGGGTTAGCAAAATAACAGGTAAGATTGTTTCCAGACCAAGCTCTATCCCTATTCCAGCTCTTTCCTACTGGCAGGTCCCCTCAGCATGCACCCTTTACTTCCAGCTTGCTTTTGCAACACAAGTTTCACTGCAACCTGCCCAGCAATTTATAACGATGATCGTTTTGAACCTGGTTTCTCAGTTCTGTCTTGTGAAGGAAGGAAGTGTTTTACTCTACTGCTGCCACACCAAGCAAAGGAATGGCACAAACATAGGTGTAAAGGACTCATGAGCCATCTATTCTCATGTGTAAGATTTTCTGCTTGACATTCATGGTTGTTAAATTCCACAGAATTGAGGTCAAACCTCCTAGAGAAAGCACTGGCACCTGTTGAAAGTTCACACAGATTACACAGTTTACAGTACGCACAGAACAACCATATTTCTTACAGGATGTGACGGGTAACTTGACGTGCTGAGACCAAAATAATAGGGAAGAAATAATTTCTGATAATGACAACAGGGGACATTTTCCATACCTTTCTCAGATCACAATCCGTTAAAACCTGTACCTTCTAACAAAACTGTCTTACCAAGTTTTATTACATACCATACAATTTTGAAGAGTTAAGGATGGCAAGGTAGTTGGATTCACAGTTCTGGGATTCAATGTCCAAGTCACCAATTTTTAAGATCAGTCGTTTTCCCTGAGGCACTTGAATTTTCTTTTCACAAACGGTGTAATTGGGGTAAGTCCCAGGATAGTTCTTGGATGCCAGAGTACCACTGTCTTGATATACCACCATATGGCCACATCCATCCCCTTTTTGAAATGCAGGGAGTGACAGAGGAAAAAAAAGGAAGGGGGAAGAAAAGCACATACTACATGGTTATCAACTGTCATGTATGTCCACACCATTTTCAACAATATACCATCTTATTTTATGTTATTTCTCTTCAGCTTCTGCAAATATAAAATTGATATAACAACCACAAGTTTCTTGTAAAATAATAGAAAGGTGAGAGAAATGCTGTTGCTGTATACCAAGGTACCTCACAAACTACACTTTCAAATGAGAATGAGTCATGAACAGGCAAATTTAACTTAATTTTCTAATTTGGGGCCAAATCCTGTAAGCACAAATAGGCATGAGTTATCCAGAACTACTTTTCTCTCCATTATCGTTGCATGTTTCAATGAAAAACAATATAATAGTCTGGGGGGGGGGACGGATACTGAACCACACATGAAAACATAAAGATAATTTAACAATCTACAGTCATCATTATCAGACTCATTCTACTGTTGTGCTGCTTCTCTTTAAAAAAACATCACACGCATACACGCACACATGCACGGGGATGGGGAGGAGGAATGGAGCAGAGGGAAGGTGCAGACTTGGGGTCTAGACAAAACAAGGGTATCTTGATACAAGCTGTTACAATGCAACTGTTAATTGCATGAGTCCATAGGCATACTAGGAAAACTATTCTGACCTTAACTGCTTCATTCTGGGTCAAGGTTAAGGGATTTAGCTCCCTTTTACCACTACATGACTGTGTAATCCTAACAGCATAACAGTTACTACATGCTCCTAAGCAGCAGCTTCCCCACTTCAAAGCAACTAAAGTGCATGTTTGTCCATACCCTTAAAGATCATACCCCACATCTGCAGCACAAGATATAGCAACAAGAAAAGGCAGAGGAGCTTGAAGAGAAAAATGGAGAGCACAAAGCATTGGTGGAAAGAACAGAAGCACAGGCAGGATAAGGAAATCTAGGTTACTTAAGGAAGTCATGGGAGAGTACAGTTAAGATGAAAAATACCAGTAACTTGAAGTTTGTATTTCAAAAAGCCTATTCCCCTTCCTTTAAGTTTTTCAGGAAAAAAAATCAGTGGAACTATAGGAGTCAGTAAGTGTGCAGGGGCTTGCAGCATAAGGCTGTTTGTGGGGCCTACGTTTTTAGGTATGAACAGTCTATACTTGTACCTTTTACAGAATTTTTTGTCCATTGTTAGTAATAACAAAAACTGCAGCTATCAATGTGAAGACACCAATTCAGAGAAATTGGAAATTTACAAGTTCACTTTAATAACCCAACATTTTACTGTAGGCTGCATCGATCAAGACATTGTGCTCCTATCATTTTAATTGCCAACAAAATCTCCTTTTACAACCGCTAGGAAAAAAAACATATTTCACACTTAAAGATGAAACAACAACTGAAAATGAAGTGCTGATAAAGCAGTGTGTCATGCTGGGAACAGATAAAGTGACATGCTATGCAAAGACAAGCTCCAGGCTGTCAAACTTTTCCTCATTACTATCTAATAACAATACCATTCCACGCATCTCTCATGTACTTTTCACAGAGCAGCACTTATTTTAAAAGTTTTATCGTTGTTTCTCTATGTTGCTTACTATTTAGTTCAGTCACAAGTTAAAGCAATAGAAGTAAACCAAAAATATAGACTCAAGAGTCCCACCACTATTAAAAACAAATATCAATGTTCAGTCCATTTTTTACACAACTGTGAAAGAAAAACAACATAAAAACCTCCTAATACAGTGGCTCTAGTTACTTCGGCAGGAACAGACAAGTGGTAAGGATCAACAGAAATTTATCTTTGAGTGTGTTGTTGCCTTTTACTGGAACTATTTCTGCCTAGCAATATAAATATAGCAATTCCTTTGTAGCAACAGCTACACTAAAGTGTCTGTCAACACTCAGAAGTTGCACTATCAGTTTAAGGCAAACAAAAAAACTATTCTGGAAATGTGTGTTCACACAATATCCTTTATAATGCTCTGTGACGCAATACTTATGTTAAAAGACTGATGTACTAGGGGGAAGGTATCCCAGTATTGTCCATTGTAATTTCAAAGATAAAATTCAGAACTGATTTCAGTGACGCTCCACTCCTTTGGCAGAATCAGGACTTTGGTATGCTGCAAGTCCTCAGTAGAAAGTATGGTCTTCACTAGATTTGGAAGAATTGAATCTTAATTAGATTTATGGATAAAGCTGTCACTTCATATATACAGTAATTATCACCTAGACTTCATATCTGTGCATGTAGAACGTGTTTAGCATTATCTTGGTCTGTAATGCACATTCCCAGTACATCTCTACCAGAGCATGTGTTCCAGAGCTAAGAACAGTCAAACTTCCATTGGCTTAGTCAGCAGAGTTTAAGCTGACTGCCTCCCTTTAAAAACCAAGAACGGGGTGGGGGGTGGTGAAAAGTGAAGGAAGTTAAATTTTAAAAACCTATGCAAACAACTTTGATGTTGTGGAGTTTAAATTGCCAAGACTCAAGAAACGGATCAAGTCCCAACGGCATTGTTAAATAGCTCATGTGGCCACCCAGGGTCACATGATGCCCTGTGTTACAGTGGTATGGCCCCAAGGGGTAGAATACTTACCTGGGGACCTACATGGGGTAAAATAAAAAACATTAAAAAAAAAATCACTACAGTCATGGAAAGGTGGTGGCTACTATATTTACCTTTGGGTCTAAAACCAACAGAGCCTGGGGAGATTCTGGCTTGGCCGGTTGTAAAATTGCAAAGCAATGAAGAGAACTAGGTGAGGAATACTTGAAATGCCTTGCTGGTCTACCTGTCCCAACATAACATACCAGCAAGGCACTCCTCTTCACTTCCCTCTGTACCCATGTGAGCTGTATTGACAAAAGTGCTTTGTTTGATAAAGCTTTGCTGGTATAACATTGTCTTAACTAATGGCTTCTGCCAGCACAACTATGCTGGAGAACATGCCTCATCACACTCTGTCTGATTTAGCTAGTTCAGAAAAAAATTACAGTATAGATCTGGCCCCAGGGTCCCCTTTCAGCCAGATCATATGAGGTCATGTCCCCAGGTAGAACTCCATGTTCTAAGGCCTTGGACACCTGCCCAATAACAAAATAGCAAAAAAAAAGTCTGTTCTGAGCTGAAGATGTAAATGCTGTTTTATGGCCCCCTGCTAGTAGAGTCTGATTTAGACATTGTGTAAACACTGAAACTGATGAGAAGAGTGGCTGAGATGAGACACATCAGGCTGGCACTTCTGTTTCTCTTTGCTACCTCCGATCTGTCAGATTGGGACAGCAAACACATGAAAAAAGTAACTTTACCACAAAAGGTTAAATTAATAATTAAAAAGTTGTGCCTAGTTGTGACAGGGTGAAATAACAACCTGCAGGCATGATTTCTTCTTCAAGTTCTCAGGATCATCAAAGTGTCTAACCTCCAGTTACGGAAAAAACTTGAAAACATAAACTGTAGCTAGTTAACACTCCCTTAGGCAGACTCAGAAGCCAATTTCTTCATAAAAGTCAGTCCTTTTACTATACATGTGGATAGCTTCTCATCGCAGGAAACAAAACCAGTACAGGTGCAAAGAACATACAAAGCAACACAAGCCGTGTGCATGTGTGCTCTCACTCTCTCTGCCCCAGCCCTCCAGGCTTCCTTCCTGGGAACTTTTAACTTCTTCTGAGCCCAGCCAATTACAGCTGATCCAGTGTTCTTAAGCAGGTAGGCTATCATTATCCCCTAATCCCCTGAAGCTCGGCACCAGCCCCTGAGTCATGCATCTCATTACAACAGCCCAAAATAAAAAGGTTTAGATTATTTCCCACCCACATGCAACCACTGGGTGACCAAGTCAGACAACATATACTCAAGTGCAGATGATTCATCCTTCTGCACATTTATGCATGCCACTACCATTCAGCTGGCCTATGGCTTCAGTAAGATCACTTCATGGATGGAGAACAGCTGCCTGAAACTAAACCTGAGAAAGAAGGTGATACTACGGGCATTTTGCAGAATTCACAACCATGGGGTAGGCTCCTTTGGATGAAGGTACCTAATCCACAACTGGTCAATGTCATCTATAGCATTTTTTTGCTAACATCAAGCTTTCACATAGCAGCATCCTTGAAATAATGCTTTCTGTTATCTCCATTTGGCAGACAGACTGTCCTGTCCTTGCAGATGATGCCTTAATTCACCCCTTGTTGGACTGCAGCAATAGCATATACCTGGGCACTTACTAGCATTTCAGAAGTTCCAGCTAGTAAGGTTTGCTGCACTGCCTCCCTTCCTCTTTACAGGTTACTAGGAGCCCATCAGACTTGTCTTTCAAACTGGCTTCCCCAAAGACTTTTAAAAGAAATTCAAGGTCTTAGTCCTTACCTTCAAGATGCTCCTTGGCTGGGGCTCATGCTACCTAAGAGATCACCTAACACTCTGGTATGATGATTGTTGTCATAAATTACAGTCTTCTGGCATAATGGAACTCTTTAAAGTCAGGGCTACATAGGTTCCTGCGGAAGGATCTGTCTGAGGAACCAAAGGCCATCATTATGAGCTTCTGGTTTAAATGCAGTGTATATTTGCATAACTGTGTATATATTTAAAAATAAATCTAAAACAAAAGATGACACTGTACTATATATATTCTTCCCTTAGAGAGAGGATAAGAAAAAGAGACATATGACAGACACATATAGTTACCTTGAGTAAGGCACTGATGGAAGTACTTAGATAACTTGATAATAAGTGAGCATGCTAGAAAAAAAATCTACCCTAGCAAAAATTTCCAAGACAACTGGGTGTGGGTAAAATCTGAGTATTGGTTCTAGCTCTGATGCCATATGACACATTCCTAGGACCAGACCTGTTCTCTGAGGCTCCAACTTCCAGCATCACTAAATCCTGAAACCAGTGTCTAAGACAGTGCTTCCCAACTAGGTTGCAGGTTGTTGCACAATGATAACACTGCTAGATGTGCAAACAAGGTTCACAAGA